AGAGAAGAGAATTACGAAATCGGCAACGCACACGAGCCGGACCTGTCGTCGAGAGATCCGATACTGGAGGCAAAGAGCGCGTGTAGATGCATTTTTTCTTTATGTTGGACTAAATATGAGATTTAAGAAAAAAAACTTTGATTCTTTTTAATATCTTATATTGTACGAGATCAATTTGTGAAATTGATATCTAAATTATATCACAGGAAGTTCACTTCGCATGTTAATTTCTAATTTCAATTTTCATAACATCTAACAGTTCGCGACTATCTTTCCAATAAACTATGCGCGATTCGATGTTTTTCGGTGCGTTTTTATACTTTTCATAAGATGGCAATGTACCTTTGAGGAATGCTTCTAAGTTGTATCCTTTTCTGACAAAGACCACATCGTTGCTTGTATTATTTGTAAATCCCGTCCGAAAAAAAACCACACAATTTCATGAGAAAAGAAGTCAGTTAGTCGGGGAAACAAGGAGGCATGAAATGGACGTAATCATACCGCACAGAATATACCGTACCTCGACATTTTAGTGGCGGGACAGAAATCATTCATAGAATCCCCAACATAAATGATTCGATCGTATCTGGGGCCAGAGGAGATGTGACCCAGAAGTTCTTTTCCTTTACAGATATTTTCCGAACAATTATTCTTGCACCCGTGCGGGTTGTCTTTCGGAACCAACCTACGAATGCGAAGCCGACCGTTTTCATCCCATGAAGCGGGATTGGTAATAACATGAGTGATCAAGTCGCGGACACCGTATGCCTATTGAAAATACGGAAGACATGCAAATTTGACACAAGGAATTGAAGAATGATACATTGGTTTAAAATTATTTACCTTTAACACCTCTTCAATATACACCACGTTCGCATCAGAAATAATCACGATTTCACCGTCGATACTTTTGATGGTTCTAAGTATTTCGATCATCTCCGGACTCTACACGACCAAGCGAATAACGTTGCAAAATTTTTTCTATTAAAGAATTATTAAAGGGAGAAAAAAAAAAAAAAAAAAAAAAAAAAAAAAAAAAAAACAAAAAAATGGTTTCCTAGTTTTTGTTTAAAAAATTTCCTGCTTGTTCATTTCTTGTTTGGTACCTTTCCCAA